TTTTGGCCACTGCTACTTCTTTACATTTTAGTCGTCTTTCTTGGGTAGCATCTAAGTCTTGGAAAAAATGTTTTCTGTCTGTTGTTGTTGTTGTTGCTTCTGTTGTTTTCTTCTTCATTTACTTTGGCGATACATTCAAAAACAATATATATATATATATATTTTTCTGTTTTGTTTTGTTTTCTTTTCTGTTGGTACCTCTCAAACAGAAGAACAACACATTAAATTTTTTTGCTTTTTTAAGCCCTGTTATTTTATTTTATAGTTGGGAAAAAAAAAACGAGAAAATAAGGATTAGAAAAGGGTGGGAAGCTAATAGGGAAGTGAAAGAAAAAAAAATTTTTTTTTTTTCATTTTTCAATGGTAATTTAGTTTCATTTTTAGCTCAGTTTGCGCATACTTTATTTTTTATTTTTCATAAAATCGAAAAAAAAAAGAATTGGAAAAAGGAAATGAATTTTGAACAAAATTTCATTTCAATTACATCTGCTTTAGTCAGTGGTTTTGATGGCTCATAATCAGATAAAAAATCTTTTTTTGTTTTGTTATTGTTGCTAAAAATAACGTTAAAAAACTCGAATTACTTATAATAAAAGCAGTTCGGATGTCTGCTGCTTACCGATATTAAAATATCTTTATAGAATCAGTTGCTGTTTTTGGTATCAATGTTGATCAAAGTTTTGCTGGTGGTAGCGTTTCTTATCTTGACAGAAACCGAAGAAGTAATGAATTAGAAGTAATGAAATTTTTAATAAAGACGGAACGATTTTCTTATTTAGGAGGAGAAGTTTATTACATAGCATAATAACTGTATTAGAGCTAAATGATAATAGCAAATGCCATTAAATTTTTTTGTCATTTCTGATCATCTATTAGAAAATTTTTATGCAATAAACAAAAGATTTGTATCGAATTGTTGGCGATTTACCAAATGAAGGCAGCACTAATTATTTGTCAAAATTAACAGATTAATTTGAAAGTTTTTCATTTTTCTCCACCTTTTGGCCTTCAATAACCTCAATGATCAATGGATTATATAATTATTATATAAGTAGAGGTTTTTTTTTGTTTTGTTAATAACAGTTTTATACTGCTTTCGTACTACTCCCACAGGAGCCTCTTTTTTTCTCTTTTTTTTTTGTCTACTTTACCAATATATATACGTATTTTGATCGATGTAGAAAGTTGAGGAATCTGAACTTTTTGTCTATACTTTTTGTCTATAACTTTTTGTCTATAACGATGTCTATAATTACTGATTGAGGTAATGCTGTCTAGCTGCTGTAATTAGGAAGAAAAAATTTGGCTCGATAACTGCTTGATATTTATGTATCGGCAGTATATAAGCATTAAAAAAAATTTTTTTTAACATTCAATGTTGGTCTGTAAATTTGATAATTTAGGCTTCAAATTTATATGGGTGTAGCCGACGGTTGTCTTAAAGACTGTGGCTCAATACTAACTTCTTTCCTTTTCTCTCCATTTTTTTTTTTCGATTTGTTGACTATTGTCGCATTATTTGCTGCTACTTACCATTGTTCCATATTAGCTAAATTCGTGTTTATAAGTTTGTGTAATCCACTGCGCTGTTAAGATGTTTGCCTGCTTTTTTTCCTAGTTTTTAGTTCTTTTCTTTTGCGTTTCACACATTTAAATTCTATGATTTTTTAAAGTACAAATATATTTTTGTTAAGTGGCATAAAGGAGGCATAGAAAGCAGGTAGAAAAAAGACTATTTAAAATCAATTAAATAACATTTACGAAGGTGTATAAATTGAGGAGTCTATCCCATTGTTTGCTAAAAATTATGCCAAAATAAATGGATCAACATTTTAGCGGTATCAGTTAGGCGATCAAGTGAGGCGTGGTTTTTTTTTATGTTTGCAAGTAAAAGCTATCACCGACACAACTGGTCGATCAGACCAATCGGCACTAAGATGGCATTTTAAACAGCTAAGCTGAACATAGTCAGTAGGCAGTTGTTGGTCTAATATATTCGGCAAATACATTGTGCTGGAGGCCAGAGTGTGTTCAGCAAACAGCCATCTAAGAATGTCAACTGCCAATATAAAAGTTTGTCCAACGGTTGAAGAAGTAAAATAAAGTGTTGACATTAAAAGTTATATTCTAAATCTACTTACTGCTAAATGTTAATTTACATCAATTTATCAAAAGAAAAAGCTTTTTTTGTCTTTCAATAAAGCTGTAAACGAATGTGAAAAATTTTTTGTTACAGGTACCAATGCTACAGAAGAAGAAAAAAGGTGGTACTCGCAAAGCCGGTTACAGTGGACGGAATAGTCCAGAACCATGTTCATCCAATACAGTAATTGCTGGTAAAGATTTGGTACTGGAGATACAGGTATCAATTGTTAGTCGTGAAGAGTATGAGATGCATATGGAAAAACCAAGTGACTTGATTGAAACAGGTGAATTGATATTTTGGCAATTAATTATACTTTAGTAAAATGAGATTGTTTATATATTATTTGTTTATATATTATTTAAAAATGAAGAGAGGTTTTTATTTGTATATATTAAAAATCTTGTTAAATGAGTATAAAATACTTTAGAGATATAATTTTGTTACAATAAATTGTTTTTTTTTTAGCTTATGAATTGGGCTCTATAGAAACGGAAATTGGCGCAACTGTACGAGCAATTCGTTCGCAGGTACAAGATTTGTTTCGTCAACATCCATGTTTACCGTACGATCCGGAGGACAGTTGGCGATTTTTAGACTGTATGAACTTTTTTCCACTTTAATTATTTATCTTTATTACATATATACATTACATATACATAAACTGAATATATATATTCAGTTCCAGTTCGCATACTTTTTTTGCTTAATATCATGAAATTTTCGTTAATTTCTTCTAGTTGACGGAATTTGGGCTCAAACTTAAAAAAATCGCAAAGAGAAGTTGAAAAAATGGGTTTTCTGTCATATTAAATTTCTAAAAAGTGGGAAATTTTGTCAGGTTGTTTCTCAGTATGCCTCTTTGTTTTCAGTCAAGTCTTGATGGAACTCAAAGATTTTGAGTTTATTACGTTCTCGTGTCTTCTACGTTTAAAAATTTTTTACATTTTCTGATTAGATAAAATAGGTAAACAGATGCAATAAAAGAAAGATTTTGGACAATAATAAAAAAGTTCTCTCAGATCTAAAAAAGAACACATTTTGTGTAAAAGTTTTTGCGCTGCAAAGGATCACAATTTGATGGAGTCTATCTGTCAGAGCATAAAGATGTAAACTGACAAGTAAATTTGGACTCGTAAAAATTTGCCATCTTAAGAGTAATCGCATATATTTTACAGCAGCGAAACCATCGCTGGCAGCAAAATTTTTTTTTAAAAGCAGAGGAAAAAGCTCTTTAGTATAATCTGTGCTTCAAATGTTGGAAGCTGGTTCAAGAAAACTACTCGTTATAAACATATATGTGCAAATTACTGTTGAGCATCTACGTTACAAAATTCTTATTCTTATAAAATTATGGTTACCTTTAACGATCAAAAGGAAATACTATTTTGAGAAAGCTTTGCTGCCGCTGACGGAATGAATAATGATGCAGAGAAGCTTTGAAATTCTCAGCAGTAATGACGTTCATTTTTTATCGTGTGCCAGCGGGAGAAAAGATACGTGAATATGAAGCAGTTCCTGCTGATCTCTAATGCACAAGCGTAAAGGTGTTAATGATACTTAGGAATTTGATAAACTATTTTTCTGGTCATGATAAACCATTTTTCTGATGAGTAAAGGTTTTTTCTATAGCTGTCAATCTCGGACTTAAGGGATTGTAACATAGGCGGTTGGTAAGGGAACGTTGTCTTGAGCTGGCGTTTGCTTATGAAAGCAGGACACTTGTGATATAGGTTATAAATATGGTTGTGGCACTGTGGAATTTTGTGCAATATCACAAACTTCTTTCTGGTCTGAAACGTTAGGTGTTTGATTGGAAATTTCTTGTGATTGCTTAAAAACAGTTTCCAGGCTTTCTAGTATAAAGTACAACTGCTTGGAATAAACCGTTAATATCTGGAAGACTGAATTCTCATAACCGTTTTTCTCAACTTTTAAAAGCAGATTCTCTAGCTGATCATAGTTTCACCGTTGTAAAATAAATGCATTCACTGTGATAGCAATGGGTTTAAATCAGTCATGATTTGCTTTGAAGCGCACATTCTCGACTCACTCGGAACAAATTTATTAAGTTGTACTTTTTTAGACAAAAATTTTGCTTAAATGTAGTCTTCTAAATTTAAAAATGCTTTTCTTTTATTTTCTTCAGAGTTTTTGCTTTTATTATTTTCACCTGTCTTCCTGGAATTATCAAATGAGTAAAATATTTTTTAAAATTAGAAGACGACGAAAATCTAACGAATTAAAACCTTTAATTCAATTGGACTAGGCATTTTCGGGGAGAAACGTGGTAATTTCGCAACTTTTAAATGGCATTATTTTGCTGGAAATCCACTTTTTTTCAAAATTTCTCTTCAGTTTTTTTTTAATCTGAGTCTAGACTGCGCTAGTTAGGTCAATTTTGAAAAGAAGCTACTTAGAAAAACTTTGTAAAATGAAAAAAAAAAAAGGTTCATGTATATACACATTTATTTGAAGTATTTAAAAACATTTTGTTTTTTGTTGACTTAATCTCTCTGATACTATGATTTTACTGTGATTGAACGTCTCTGTAGCCAATTAGGCAAAACATATCTTCAGTATTACAAATTTATTGTATTTTTTCGACTAATACAACTGTAATATATATATATATTTTTTTACAGATGTATCACGTCCAAAAAAAGGTGTTGTTGATATCACACGTGGAATGGAATGTAAACATCGCGTGGTGGATATATGTATACCAAAAACTGGAATTTTGGTGGTTGCAAACGGTTTTCCAACACTTGCTGATCGCATGTCAGACCGTTTTACGAAAATTTCATTTATACCTGGGTATTTTTCAATGTTTGCGACAATAAGTCGACAATAAGTCAAGTTTGAATGAAGTTTGATTATTGTTGCTGGTTTTTTTTTTTTTTTT